ATATGAACATTTATATTATTTGAAAGTCATTATTTGAGTATCATAAGTTTTAATATCGCTATTTGAAAGTCATTATTTGAGTGTCATAAGTTTTAATATCGCTATTTGAAAGTCATTATTTGAGAGTCATAAGTTTTAATATCGCTATTTGAAAGCCATTATTTGAGATTCATAAGTTTTAAAGTTATTATTGGAAAGTGCTAAAGATACAATTTAAAAAAAAAAATCATTTTTACCTCATTCAATCAAAAGAAAAATATTGTTTCGAAATTGACTGTTTAATGATGGGATTATATCATGGATACATAGATTTATATCATGAATACTTGGGATTGTATCATGGACACATTTCATTGTTTCATGGTTACATGGGATTTTATCATGGATGATGCGCAAAGATAGAAATAAATACAACTGAATTAGCATAAAGTTAATAATTGCATTGGTTTTTAAGATGGTTAGAGTAAATGTAACCTTAAAAAAAATGTATCCTTTATTAAACATCAACAGCAGAATTGATTGCAGTCAACAATCTCAGATCATCGATCAGCTCAAAAAGGACACGACGAGATGGTGAGGGTGACTATTGAAGCAACTCTCCCTCATTTTAAACAAAATACAGCGCAGGTCAAGGGTACCAGCGCAGGTCAAGGGTACCAGCGCAGGTCAAGGGTACCAGCGCAGGTCAAGGGTACTGTTCAAGTAAAAAAAATGCCCTTGGTCATTTTCGTGTGGACGAACGATAACAATCAGCAGTCAATCATTTCTTTACAATGTCAAAACCATTCCATAGCAGACGACGGCGGTCAGTCCATGAATACAAAGTGGACATCCTGCAGGTCATCAACGCGAATTCCAACCGTCCCGTCCAGGAACACGTGCCTGCAGGCGTTCAGCAGGAGGATGAAGTTGCCCGGCTTGAGACATCTGGTCAGCGGGATGGGTAGACCTAGACCAAACATCTCATCGCTCACATGGAAGTACATGTTGAGCTGATTATAGAACATGATGTGGGTTTTTACGCCCTCTTGGTCCTGGGGAACAGAGAGAGAGAGAGGTATCTTATTTTGAGGCATTGATGGTGGATTGAACGAACATTATCTCATTTTAAGGTCAATAAGTGGATTATATGGCAATGATCTAAATATGATGAGCTGAAAGTTGATTATCTCTAATATATATTTTGCATGTGGTGTGACTGCTTCCATTTCCGAATAGCGCACGAAGTATAATAACTGATAACTACTCTAATTATTACTGTTTTTTAAAATAACGCAACTGCGTTTGGTGCGTAATATTTTGTTATCGGAAAATGAGATCGTGTCAACTTAAATAAGATGTAGTAAATATTCGGTTTTAAAGTGGTTGGGACATCAGAATATTTAATATAGTTCATAGGCGTGAAATAAAAAAGTGTGCAGTGACGTATCATGGAGGGAAAAAGGGTGTAGCAAAGATTTGGATTCTTAAATGTGCGTTTCTTGAGCTTGTGTTTTGTCAAGTAACGCATTGCCGTCGCCATTGTTTGGCAAGCTATAACTTGGTTGACAATAATCTTATTATGGAGCATTGCAAGTTGAATATACACAAAAGTCGTGTTGTTTTTTTTCGAACACATTTTTCGATTGAAAGTTAAGAAACCCCGAAACTTTTGATACGAAATTAAATGTATTTCTTATTATTGCATTTTATATTCTCACGTCACGCCAGTTTTACACAGCAGATTTATTTCCCCAACTATTTCAGAAAAAACAAAAGAAAATATTACGCAACAAACGCACTTGCGATATTTCGTTGTAAGAATCTTATTTAGCGCGGTGATCAGGAATTTTAATTATACAACAGATCAGTGTCCTCATATTTTCTTCATCTTTCCCTTGAAAATCTTGAACAACTGATTTTTGGGGGGTTGATGTTTGAGCTGGTGAGGGGGGGGGGCCTGGTGATGAAAATTTGATAGAACGTGTTGTCATTGGCAGAAGGGTCGCTGTGCCAAGTTTCAGTTCAATGCGTTTATGAGAAGTGGGTCAATGAGCCGTCCGAAGATTTTTCCATTAACAAAAAAAAAAAGCGAATTTAATTTAAAGGATTTTAAAATAAGAGTGCTGGGTGGCCGAGTGGTGTACACTGATTCAAACCAAATAGCCGGTGGTCTGGACTACAATCCCCACCAAAAGCAAACATCCCAAGCACCCTGGGTGGATGGGACTGTTAGCCTTGGACGGCAACTCGTCTAAAGGAAGGCGAACTCAGAGTTAAAATCAGGAGCCAGAATGATTAATGAATTGATTGTGGGCCCATCACATACAAGAAGAAAATATGGCTGCTGACGTAAATGTTTTAATTTTTATGAGACACTGAGAGAATGGCTGACACATGGAGAGACTGGCTGACACACTGAGAGACTAACTGACACACTGAGAGACCGGCTTACACATTGAGAGACCGACTGACACACTAAGAGAACGGCTGACACATGGAGAGACCGGCTGACACACTGAGAGACTGACTGACACACTGAGAGACCGGCTTACACATTGAGAGACCATCTGAAACACTGAGAGAACGGATGACACATTGATAAACTGGCTGACACACTGAGAGATCGGCTGACCCGCAGAAGAACACAGCTTCACACAGCCCTTTCCGCGACTAAACTCCCCCGCTCCCCCCCCCCCCCCCAAACAAAAAAAAAAAAAAAAAAAAAAGAATTTTCAATCTCCCTGAGACACTCAAAAAATGTTCATTGCTTTTTTTTTGGTCAACGGATGTGTTCTTTGATCTCAATTCTTTTACTGACGCATTTTACAGTATTCTAATTGTTAAGTCTGAAAGTAGTTTCCAAGAGCTACATGACTAAGACCAAGGAACCAATTATTACAGAGCTACATGTAATAGACCAAAATAGCCGCATTCAGTTCAAGAGCCGCAGTTTCCCCACCCCAGGCCTCCGTATATAGAATGAAAATCACGTGATATGTATTAAAAGACTTACCACCACTACAACGCCATGTCGGAAAGGGTGAAAGTACGGCCCTAGGATCTTCAAGAGTATGGGCCGTCTGACTCCGAGAAACAGGTCTAAAGGATAGAGAGAAATGGTACTTTTTATGAAGGAGGGAGTTTGTCAAGGGAGGACATCAAGAAAGGGAGAAACATGAGGGATTGGAGATATACGGAAGAGAGAGAGAGATAGAGAGAGAGAGAAAGAGAAATATGGGTGAAAGGAGAAATAGACGAAATAGTCATAGAGATGTTACATATATATATATATATATATATATATATAATAATAATAATAATAATAATAATAATAATAATAATAATAAAGTTCATTTCAAAAACACGCTTCATCCCCAAAGGCTCAAAGCGCGGTACAAAGTCAACGAAAAACAAATCTATAATTTACCACATTTAAAACAAACGCAACACTACAAAAACTAATTACAAGCATACAATCTCAAAGTCTTTCTAGCCATTTCAACCCCAAGCAACATAGCCATTATGCATTAACTGGAAAATAAGGTAGACAATCATCCCAGAAGGTGTTTGCGAAATAGATGTGTCTTTAGATCAGTTTTAAAGGACTCCAGTGTCTGGTTGTTTCTAAGATCGACAGGAAGGGCGTTCCAAATTGTTGGACCAGCAAATGCGAAAGTGCGCTTTCCGTAAGTCTCAAGGCAAACACGTGGTGTCGAGAGTTTTCCACTATCGGATGAGTGGAGCTCTCTACTGGGTACATAAGGCGTCAGCAGCTCTTTCAGATAGGAAATATATATATTTTTATGTAGAAGACGTGTTCACGTCATTTTCCCCGTGCCGTGAACTCTATTGACCCAAAATTAGGCTGCGTTCGTATTTGGCGTGGCTTATTCCCTTTGATCTTGGCCTTTGTTAACTATCACTACCAACTAAAAATAAATAACATGTTCTAATATAATTTTAAGGAAAATTAGGGAGTGAACTTGACAGGTAAACAATGTGTAAGGTGGTTCGAGATCTTTCAGTGGGATATAATATAAAAGCGGGATTCATTTTTGGACGGTTGAGAGTTTGACTTACTGAGACAGGGTTGTCTTTTTCTGTGTGTATTATGTGTTTATTCGTATTCATCATTGAACCTTATTTTTGGCACATTGTATTAACTGTGTAACGGTACAAGACATACCATACTCTGTAAGTTGATGATTTTTAATGATATTTTTCAAATTTTTGTAATTTTACTGATACTGAAATAAATCGTATTGATTGTAATAAGCAACCGTTTTGAGTGTCATATTTTGCTATTGTATTTCTCATAAGGTATCGTCTTTTGGTATGCACTGTTTAGAAAGAGCCATAAAGTTTAGATAAGAGATTAATTTCTTCCGATAGAAGGCAGTGCGTAACTATATAAATCTCTCTCTCTCTCTCTCTCTCTCTCTCTCTCTCTCTATATATATATATATATATATATATATATATATATATATATATATNTAGATAGATAGATAGATAGATTAGAGAGATAGAGATATAGAGAGAGAGAGAGAGAGAGACAGAGAGAGAGGCAGAGAGAGAGATAAAAAGGGAGAGAATGAGAGAGAGATAGAGAGAGGGAGAAAAGGAACGAAAATGTATGTGTTTTGCATCTCATTAGAGAATGCTTTATACCTCTGTATAAACCTTAATAATTTTTCCAAAAGAACATCACCCTACCAGGTGAAGCTACTTCTTAGACATGTCAATGGTACCTCTCACATTTAGGATTTAATCGACTTGTTTTCATTACCTTTATGCACTATCTTAGACTAAACAGCTGTGGGCCTCCATAAAAATAATTCACCTGCCCGTTACATAAACAATTGTCAGTCGAGAGGTTTTCATCCTTAATTGCAGGCGGATTGAATTAGAATATCAAAGAACTTACATTCAAATTCGTGGCTTAAATCTCAAAGAATATAAAAAAACTTACATTCAAATTCGTGGCTTAAATCTCGAAGTCTTGTTGAAAGTCGAGGGCCCCCTGTTCGCATGGTTTCAGCCAATAAATAGCCGAAGGGCAGTTGGTGAAGGGCTTTAACAAATACCCCAGTACGTTCTGAAGAAGAATTGCAAAGAACAAAAAAAATGTACCAAAAAAAAAATAAAATAAAATAAAATAAATAAATAAATAAAAAAAGCAAAAGTGACAACAATTTTAATGACATATTTAAAAATAAAATATTCACTTTCTACGGTTAGTTCACACATACGATCAGCACGATGTGTATTTCTGTTGTTCATGAAGTTATGTGTCGATCAGTCTGAAATACGTTTGTTCTGTATTTAAAGCATTTTGAAGAAAAAACCACAAAACCTATTGACGTAGACTGGAATCATTTGTTTAGACACATTCGATTTACTTCCGTCAATAAATTATATCGCCTGCAACTGGTCCATGCGTCAATCGCCATCATGGGGGAGAAAAAAGGGCGGGGGGGGGGCGCGCGGGGGCATTTACCGTTATTATCATAAGGCTGAACAGATGCCTCGACAGAAGCGCACGTCTGTATCACGTTTGGTGAGGAGAGTGTTTGAGGACAAAAACATATTTGAAAAGAGAAAGAACTCTTTAAAAACTTTTACAATACTGCATTTCAATCTTTATGATCGGATACCAAGACGAGAGTGTGATCACCCCCTCGGACCTGGTGAGGTACACGAGGTCTTCAAAAAAAAAACAAACTCCGACTATATTATATACGCGACTCCTACAATGTTAGATAATCGAATCCGGTTATGTCGTCAAAATAATCGATTCACGCATGTCAAATAATCGACTTCTAATAATCTAATAATCGACCCCTACTACGGCAAATTATCGGCTTCAACTAAGTCAAATAATCGACCCAGCTACGCACTTAATTTGTTTAAATGGGTCATTACTAAGTCATCAATTTTAATGTTTTTACATCTTTTAATTAACTTCTGTTTTTGTTCGTGGCTGGCTGACTCGGTTGCTGGCAGAATCTTCGGAAGGCTAATTCACCCACTTCCCGTCAACATAATGAGAATAAACTCAGAAACAGCCTCGTTGCCGATGAAAAAATATTGTTTCTAATGTTCAGCCCCAACCCCCACCCCCTCCCCCATCCAAATCACCCCATTTCTCTATATTATTTTTTAAGGATTTATACTAAAAAATATTTATAGGGGTTGTTTCATTAAAAATATGAAATCCCGCAAAATTGTGTTAATTCGATAAATATTAACAATGATACTTATGTCTTCTTACTGCACAATTCTTTATGCTTCGGGAAATCCTCTTTCTGACATGATTTGTTGCAATATCTGCCGATCTTGCACCGTGAACACTTCAGCATCGTGTAGCTCTCCTTGTGGCAAGAAAGACATTTCTCCAGCTTCGGCGGTTCCCTTGGATCTCTACCCCCGGCTGCCGCCTCTGCTTCTCCCGCCTTCTGCTTGTCGTAAGGCACGAGCTCCACCCCGGTTGTCGTCGGTTGGCCCTGGCCGTGTTTGTCCTCCGTGTTGGCGGCCCCGGTTTCTGAGCTAACCGGTTCACTGTCCTTGACCTTCCCACCCTCGCTTCTGGTATTGGAAGCTGTTCCGCCCTCGATTCCTTCAACCGTGCCGGTATTGCTGGTAGCCGACCCATCCTTGACCCTTCCAACCTGCTCACTGGCCTTCACCTTGTTGCCAGTGGCACTTGTGGCAGAACCGTCATTATCTATCTCCCTGACGTTAGACTTGTCATCAGATCCTTGATCGTCTTTGAGTTTCTCTGAGAGGAGACTTACATCTAGAGGCTTTCCTGATGGGACGGTGCCGACTGAAAAAAAGGATATGTTTACCGATTAAAAACATTAGCAAATGCATATGGCATCATATGGCATCATATGGCATCATATGTCATCATATGGCATCGTGTGGCATCATGTGGCATCATGTGGCATCATATGGCATCATATGGCATCATATGGCTTTGGATGTTATCGCCAGCATAACTTATCAATATCCAAATAAAATTTAAATAATTATGTAATGTTATTCGCAACAGTAATTTCTCTGATAGAATCAAATTAATCAGATAATTAGGGAAGAGGATACGGTAGGACTGTTATTTTTGTCAAATTTTTAATAAAGGTTGTTTTTATTGCTAAGATATTATTATCTTCTTAAACGAAAAAAAAAATGAAAAAGAAATAAAATATTACCCAACATAATTTTCTAAACTTAAATATTAAAAGCATTAAAATAGATTCATCCAAAAGTTTTTATTTTTTTTATTTTTTATTAAACTCGTCTAGAACTTTAAAAAAAACACGCCCACATACTCAATTTTCAATATTTAGTCTTGCTTTTGGGCATGAGGAAGGGGACATGATTATATGAGATATATCATTGAAACATATCTCATACTCATATGTTTTAAAGATACCCCGATGGTACAGGTATAGTTATGAATTTCAAAAATGCAAATCTAAACGGGTAAACTGTCAATTGAATTCAAACCTTCATCTGCGTTGATCCCTGGTCCTGACCCATCATCGCCCGAGTCCGTATCTGTGTCGTACTCAGGGAAGCGTGACGACTGCTCTTTCTTGACAGAAGCTCCGCTTGTCGCGTCGACTTTTGCTGCGCTTTCGTTGGTCTTCTCAGTCTTCGGCTTCCACCGGCCATCACCGAACGTCGCCCCTGATCGGGCCTCACGATCAACGATCACTTTCCCGCCAAACTGTCCACCTGCAATGAGTGACGCGGTGTCTGGAGCTGGAGAGCTGGTCTTCTTGGCTTCAGAGACATCAGTCGTTTTTCCTTGACCCTTCTTTCTGTTTCTCCTCTTCCGTGGTTTTCGCTTGTTGGTCCCTTCACTGACGCGCTGACTGGCTTTTGGTTCCTTGGTTTTATCGAGATCATCTGGTGTGTTTTCACGGACAGCAATGTTGCCCTCATCGTCCAATGGCTTGGCATTTCGCCTGACTGACATGACCACGTCGCGGTCTAACAGATGAGCCGTCCCCTTCTTCAAGCTGATGAAATCACACTGGGGCTCATGCTTGGACATGTCAAGTTCAAGGCACTCAATGGAACAATAGCTGAGGGAGAAAATAATATATATAAATAAAGAAATATATTTATTTGAACGATCGTGAATGATGCATGATTCGTTAACTTCTTAATCAGTGGTCTCCAAAATAATTAAATTGGCTAACTTCTTACGATAACCACGGTTTCATGCAATATTTAGGTGAAGAGCCGTTAGCCTCCTTGCAGGAAGGTAAACGTAATTTTATAAACATTACATCAGTTTTTCCCAACTTGGGTTGTATCAATATGGAGTCTATCAACATGGTGTGTATCAACATGGTGTGTATCAACATTAGGGTGTATCAACATGGTGTGTGTCAACATGGTATATGTCAACATGGTGTGTATCAACATGGTATGTATCAATATGGTATGTATCAACATGGCATGTATCAACATGGTATGTAGCAATATGGTATGTATCAACATGGTACGTATCAAAATGGTGTGTATCAACATGGTGTGTATCAACATGGTGTGTATCAACATGGTGTGTATTAAAATGAGATTCATCAACGTGGGGTTTATCAACGTGGGGTTTCATCAACGTGGGGTTTCATCAACGAGGGGTGTATCAATGTGGGGGAGTATCAATGTGTATTATGTACATTACATGTGAACAAAAATCTGACTCAACAGAGGAATACAAATAGAGAGAAATTAGTTACAGATCTCATGAGCGAACATGCCAATTAAGTTTCAGTTATTTATGTCATGGAGAAATATGTAACGGATATTTTAATGGAGTATTTTCTGATATGTAGGGGGAGGGGGGTAAGAAATACTACTAATGTCACTCGAGACAATGTGACACCTTGCCAGGACACTGACCTAAACTCTCGACATTTTTCACATGTCACCATGTCATGGAATGTTCTCCTCTTACAGTTCACACATCTGCGCTCCCCCTGGTACTGCTCCAGGACCTCAAACGGTACCCAGTGGACGTCAAAGCCACCTTCAGCCATTTGGACCGCTGCAGCGCAGGAGTCGAAATCAGGAAGACTAAATGCAGTCTTCAAAAAGCTGGAATTGCATGAGTAGAAGTGGGAAGTGTAAAAATAAACTTTTACCAACATGAGCTCATGGGTCAATATATACAATGAAGAAAGCGTACAGCTTTTATAACTTATGTATCATTTTATGGCTAATCTATCATTTTTTATGGCTAATCACTTTTATGGCTAATGTGTCATTTTGATGGCTTATGTATCATTTTTATGGCCAATGTATCATTTTTATGGCTAAAAAGCCCGGGTTAACTCTGCCCCTAGAGATGCCCCCATCAATCCCTTGGATTAACTGCACAAGAACATTTCGGCCCCATGAGCCATCTGCGCCCACACAGTCAAGTTAACAGCATATACGACGATTTTGGTGGCCATTGGCGATTTCGAATGACGGGATATCTATAGCTATGATATCATTTTCCGAGTGTGGTATCATTCTATGGCTGTGGCATAATTCTATTGCCGTAGTATCATTTTATGGCTGTGGTATCATCTTATTGCTAGAGTATCATTTTATGGCTGTGGTATCATCTTATTGCTAGAGTATTATTTTATTGCTGAGGTATCATCTTATTGCTAGAGTATCATTTTATGGCTGAGGTATCATCTTATTGCTAGAGTATTATTTTATTGCTGAGGTATCATCTTATTGCTAGAGTATCATTTTATGGCTGAGGTATCATCTTATTGCTAGAGTATCATTTTATTGCTGAGGTATCATCTTATTGCTAGAATATCATTTTATGGCTGTGGTATCATCTTATTGCTAGAGTATCGTTTTTATGGCTGAGCTATCATCTTATTGCTAGAGTATCATTTTATGGCTGAGGTATCATTTTATGTAATTAGTGTTAGCATTTTGATGACATTCTCTAGTTAAAGTTACACTTTAGCATTTAAATGTAATTATCTTCCTTACCAGGTTGTGAAACTTACCAGTGAGAGAAAACTACATAATGGGGCGAGACGGGAAAATGGAAAAAAGGGGGGGGGGAGATGAGCATTAGTTTATTCTCTGAAGGGTGGCGGTGGCCCATAAAAGTGTGAGAACCACTGTTTTCTAGTATCATTTTAATGTAACTAAATAAAACTAGAGTTGCGTGCCTTAGTGCCGCTCCCATCGCCCCCCTTTGGCCTGTGCATTTTTATATCTTTTTCTAGTTACCTTCTCTTGATTCCGACGCCCTCTATTATAAAAACCCAATGTTTAAAAGTTCATGAAATGTTTTTTTAAAGTAATTAAAAAGAAAAAAAAGTTTCTATGTGATCCCTATCGAGCCAATCACAAATCAAAGCTGGTGCCGTATAGCGTCTTACTCTATACTCTCTACCAGCACACAGGTATCCTGTCAATAAAACATCGATCTCCCTCGCTCCTTGTGTCCTGACGACTACCGAGCCAACATAGGAATAAAACAACAGCTGCCTAGTATTTATTATTAAAGCTCCAAAGATGTTTTAATCATCACAATACTTATAAAATACATATCTGTCCACCAGGTAAGGAACACATAGGTTTTGTCAGACAGGTTGATTTTATCGGTAAAAATAGACGGAAATCGTTGGTATGTCTTTCCGGGAATTACAAAGTAGTTTAGTTTCCGGGAATCGGGACAGTAGTTTCGAAATATCATAAAAAAATATATCCCATACACTTATTAGGAGGAAATGTCATCAAAATTTGATCTAGTAACTTTGATGAAACAGTTAGTAATACATACACTTAAGTCCAACGTTTTTAGTTTTGCTTATACAACCAATTGACAGATAAAAATGTGTTATTTGCTTAGTGTAAATGAAAATCTTTGGTGGGTTGTTGGGGGAATTAGGGTTGAAGGGGTTGATGGGGTATGTGGAATTGGGGGGGGGTGGGGTTGGTGGGTTTTTTTGGTTGATGAGGTTGGTGGGGTTGATGGGGTTAATGGGAGTGGAGGGGTGGTGGGTTGGAGGGGTTGGTTGGGGTGGTAGGGTTTTTGGGTTGGTGGGGTTAATGGGGTTGGTGTTGTTGTTGGGGTTGATGGGGTTATTGGGAGTGGTGGGGTTGGTGGGGGTTGGTGTGTTTGGTGGGGTTGAGGGTGTTATTGGGAGTGGTGGGGTTGGTGGGGGTTGGTGTGTTTTGTGGGGTTGATGGTGTTATTGGGAGTGGTGGGGTTGGTGGGGGTTCTTGTGTTTGGTGGGGTTGATGGTAATATTGGGAGTGGTGGGTTGCGGTGGTTGGTGTGTTTGTTGGAGTTGATGGTGTTATTTGGAGTGATTGTGTTGGTGGGGGTTGGTGTGTTTGGTGGGGTTGATGGTGGTTGGTGTGTTTGTTGGAGTTGATGGTGTTATTAGAGTGGTGGCGTTGGTGGTGGTTGGTGTTTTTGTTGGAGTTCATGGTGTTATTAGAGTGGTGGCGTTGGTGGTGGTTGGTGTGTTTGGGAGGGGCTGTCCAGTTAGCAAAAATCTGAATTTGAGTGTCAGTGTTGTTCAGTATGAGGCCATGACTATCAAGCTTATCAGAAAATCACTGTGTCAGCCAAAATGGATCTAAACAAAAATTTAAAAAAATTGAGCTTCTCAATGGTATATACGAAATGACCACATCAGTGTTAACGATTTGACCTTAACGTATGACCCACCAACCGATTTCAGACAGGTGTACTAAATATGTTGGCGTTATCTCTATAAATAGAAGGAGTGCTTCCATGGGCGCCTGCAGAAAACTGTCTAGGGGGGGGGGGGGCAAAAAAATCGATTAATTTTCCAGGGGGGGGGGCAAA